AACCGAATGGCGTGGCCTGTACACTGTTCCCGCTTCTTGCCTTGCGATTGGTTCTTTTGTGTCCTTATCAGCTGATGCTGCATTTTTATTGGCTGTAAATCGATAATAGAATGATCGGGGCTCGATCGCCACCCACCTGCGTTTCATAAAGCTCTGTGTGGCGTGCCGCAATCATAATTACTGCGTGACATCACACTACCCTCAACAGATCCTGAACAAGGCTCCCTGCGCTCAGAAAACGATAGGAAAACACACACAGGTGACGAGCATTTTCTCGGATAACAACGAAGAGAAATAGCCTAACTTAAGGACAAAACAAAGAAACAGTTTTTTAGTGAGAACCATGCCTTTATTTAAAGACGGTTTACACACCTGCCGCCACCACTCTGACCTTCACCGACCTTTCCGAGATGCCGAGCCACTAAAGCGGGCGTTGACGAGCACCCCACAAGGTCCTATGCTGGGTTGGGCACGGTAGAATCTAAAATGGCAATAATTCCTAGTACTGCTCTGGTAATAGTAAAATGAACAAAATGGCAGACAGACAAAGAACTTTGAAAAATATTGAAGGTCGGTTATGGCGGCGCCCAGGCTCAGCTGCTGCAATGATGATCTGATGATGGTGATGACCCTTTCCAGTAGTTCGCGCGCCACCTAGTGGCTGCTGCGGCAGTTATATCCAAGTTGTCGGCCATTGTTTGGACACGTACTCTGATGATGATGATGACCCTTTTCAGTAGTACGCGCGCCACCTAGTGGCTGCTGCGGCAATTATATCCAAGTTGTCCGCCATTGTTTGGACACGTGCTCTGAGCACATACTGGACACGACGGCTGTATCATCGTCCGGGGATGGCTCAGATCCAACCACACGCTTCGTGCTCCGAAAACTCAATAAAAAAAAAAAAAAAAGGAAAGCAAGTGGGTATTGTAGACACTCAACATAAAAGATCGTGTAACTCTTTCATCGAGGATAGAAACGTGGTTACACAATCTAAGGATGTAGTTGATTCGGGGAGAGGGTATAGTTTCTGTCATGGAGTCGTGTGCTGAAAATACGACCCTTAGAGAAAAAAACTCGGTGAGCTTCATTCGAGTTTTTAATGTATTTTCTTAGAGTACATCCGAAGCTGAATTGAAAACTCGTTGACAATCTTTGTAAGGGAGAGGAGTTGTTTAAAGCAAGCGGCCTCGAGTGAGTTCTCGTTGGAGATTCCTCGTTACCCTAAAGTCGTTCGAACGCGGCAATCTGCGGCAGAGCTGTCGTTGTACCTCGGGCAGGGTGAACATTCGGTTGGGCATTCGTCTTTCTTTCTGTGGACGTTTGTGTTCGTTGGTTTATTCGCATAGCGATTGCTTTTCCGGGCCTCGATCTTTACGATGTCTGCCCCCCCTCTTTCCTTTCCTCCTCCCCGTTTCCCTCCTCTTCGATTTGACCGCCGTTGATATGTCGTTTGTGCACTTCCGTTTTATGGTGCGTGCATTTGAGTGTGCGTGCGACACAGCGTCCACCCAGCCGCGAGATTGGATTGGCTGTCGGCTTCGGTCGTTCCATTAGCCCCTCTCCGAGTCGTTGGCACGTCCGGTCGCCGTAGAGTGGAATTTACGTTACCCGGGGAACGCGAAGAATCTTATCCGCCTTGTAGAACCTCCACGGAGTTCGAATGTTGAGTTGGCTTCGACACCGTTCGTGTCATAACTTCGGTGGGTTTCTTTTTATGTATAAATTTCGTGATGTCGTGTTCCGCAAAGACGTATGTTTCTCTTTTTTTGACGACGACAGTCTTTGTTGGGGGAGTTTCACGGCAGATTTCGGGGTATGTTTCGTGTAGGCGCCGTGGCTGGCCTCTTTCTACGCTATATCTAGCGGTAGAATGTCTTGCCTAAATGGCGTGGTGTCACGTCACTTTACACAATGTCCCGTCACGTCAGAGTTTCGCTCTGTGACGTCACGGGATTCCATGACGTAACTTCGTGATTTCACGACGCGTGAAACTAGCGTCCCTTGACGTCGGGGATACGTACGCGGCGTGATTGTGCGTCGTATAGTCTGTGTGCAGCGCCTGGTCTGTCGCCGTAGTTCCTTGGCTCGAGACTTGGGGGAGCGATACATTTTGGTTATTCGGGAAGTGTGGACGAATTAGGTTGACCATCCGATAGTAGGCTCGCGCCGTCTTTGTAGCCGTGATTAGCGCGGTTATGGATTTGTCTTCTTCCATGGTAGCGTCATTCAAAAGGGGGACTTATCGTCATCTCGATGACGGGAATTTTGCGCTACTTTATTGTTGATAGTTATTTTTATGCAGTCAGTCTCGTTGGTTCCTACTCTATAAACTATAAGTTACGGCTTGGTTTTCAAGTGCGCACTTATACCGCGGCCACTTTCCGAACCTTGGAGCTTTTACTTTCCGGCAAAGCCACCCGAGAGATCCACTGGCCGCAGTCTACACGAGCGACGGAGCTGAAACTACGTTTTAGTCCCGAAGAAAACACTGTTTCCGCCGTGACACTGAACACGTATCCGGTATCGCCGTGCTCAATAGGGGAGTTTGCGTAGATGGTTCGCTCTGTACCGCAACCTTCTCCGCAACTCGCTACGAGATCCTAGACTCTGCAGACAAGGCTATAGCGCCGCGCATGCGCAACAGTAGAGTCTTCGTTCCGGGATAGCGTAGTGGAGCTAGGGAAGCGATCTACGGAAACTCCCTAATGTCGCCGTGCAGTCTTTTTTTTTTCTTTTTTTTTTAGTGTAAGTTTTTTATTTATTTTTTTTAGTGAGTTTATTTTTTTGCGTTTTCTCTCGATTGGCTCTCCGTGCTTTGCTGAAAATTATGCGCGCCAGATTTGTGAAAGTCCGTGGAGCTGTTTCTGGTCACAGTAAACGGAACGCCGAACAAATAAAGAACTAAATAAAAAATAGCGGCTACCCGTATCTCCCTACTTCTACAATGCACGAAATGCTGTACCTAAGGGGCGATCGTTTTAATTTGCTTTGAAGACAATAGACGGTCTAGTGTGGGTCACGTGATTTCATTTTGTCCGTTAAATTTAGCGGGGAAGCTAAATTTGTGTACAGGTCTCGTGACATCAATTTCACCGCCAAATTTAGCGGGGAAATCGAAATGACGTACAGGTCACGTGACATCAATTTCTCCGCAAAATCTAGCGGGGAAACTGCATTGGTGTATAACGTGACACTCATTTAACCGCTAAGTTTAGCGGAGAAACTGAACTGGTGTATAGGTTGACGTCGTATGAATTTCCCCGCTAAATTTAGCTGGAAATGTACGGATGGACGGACGGACAAAATTTCGGTATTTGAAAGTTCCGTCCAAGTAGCATTTCCTTCTTTGATAAGTAGATAGATAAAAGAGTAAAAGAATACCTCGCGTCTGTCGTCGACTTTTCGGTCCAGCCACTGAGCTCCCCGTGTTCTCTTTTTCCTTGAAGGTTCGCGAATGTGTCATTGTCTGAAACGGGGCTTCTAATTTCTATAGAGTCGAGTCGGTTGTACAGACTCCACCGAGAGCCGTTCTCACGAACGTAGGGATGCTCGAATCTTAATTACGCTTCAATGTCGCGACTTCGCTTCGGGTTCCCTTTGTCGGCTTTGCGTATAACCCGAAACGGAGCGCGCGGATAAATTGCCTCTCTCGTCGCTCCTGTGCGATTTTTATGATTGGGTGCGTTGGCGCGGAAGCCGGCCACACATTGGAATGTTTCTTAAACCAACTTGGTGCGTGGTAGTCTTAATTATAATGTTTTCATTTGCTCGGACGGACGTTTCTAGGGAAGGAAATTCCTGCGGGTCATTACCGCGATTTAGTGGGGAAGGCGTCTTTTAATTTATCGCAGCACCTAGGCAACGTGAAGAAGTATAGTAGAAACTTGGCAATGTCCGCTAGACCATGTCTTTTTTTTTTTTTTTTCGTTTCTTAATTTTTTTTTCTCCTTTCGTTCGTTTCTTGAAGTTCGCAGAAAAAGGGTTTACTCTGCTCGGCAGTGATGACGTCCACGCGGCTTATGTCTTTTTTGTGTGTGTGTGTGTTTTTTCTTAATTCCGTCTTGAATACCTTTAGTTTGGATTTTTGCCTTTAAATCTTGTGTATTTTATGATATCATGGGCTCATCGTCTATTTAGGGAATCCGATAGAATATATTGAAATTTGAAACCGTGTTCTTTTAGAAATAAGGCGATCACCTTTTTCATCCCGATCGGCTTAGTTGTTTTAAAGTTCTACATACAAGCTACCTCTGTATTTGGAAGTATAGGTGAAGAACGGGTTCAAAATCGAAACCATAAAAAACGTGCGTGCGCACGTACGTCGATGCCAAGTGTGTCATGGTGTTTGTAGCGTTTACGAAAACGCTTCTAGCGCGTTGTTGTCAGGCTTTGTCGGCTGGCTGGTTTCGGGAACGTTTTCTGCCGAAGTACGCGAACCGTTTCCCCGTAAAATGTCGGCACGATGCATCGTGAAATTGGGATGAAGTTGGGTTTGGCGATTACTGCGGGGAAAAAAAATTGTTTTGTAGATCCCGCTGAATTCTAGCGCCCTCCGGTCGGCCTATTAAGCAATGTGGTATATAATATGTTCCTTCAAAACGGCTACGTCACGAGGTCTCTTCTTGTCATTTATGGTTATTAACGAACCCATTACTGTCGAGACCGGTTATAACGAAATCAACGGAAATGGGAAGTTACTTCGCTATATCCGCTGTTTCGTTATAACCGACTTTCTTTATAACGAAGTGCAAACGGGATCGGGAAATCGTGATGACTTCGTTGTAGCCGCTATTTCGTTATAACCGGTCTCGACAATATTCCGAACATAATCATTTCTTCGTTTTTACGACTAGCTTTTGAAGTGTCTATAGATGCTTTCAAACGTGTATACAATGTTAAAAATCTTCCTCTCTCTCTCTCTTCTTTTCTGCGTCGTTGTGTTTGTTGGTGGTCGTCGTTCTTGTGATTGAAACGTGTTTTGTTTGTGTTCCCGACAGTGGCGGTCCCCGACGCAGCGCAGCGGCTGAACGAGAGAAATGGCGGCTTCGGTGCAAGACGGCCCTACGAACCGCAGTGAGCTCGAGATGCTCCAGATGAGGGCCAATCAGGAGACGGACGAGGTTAGTCCCTTTTCTATCTTCTTTTCTTTCAGGACACTTCGAGACATTCCCCAAAAAAACAAATAGAAAAAAAAAAAGAATTGGGTGCCTTAGGGATTTCGGAGGAGGTCTCTCGTCGGTCAAATGATTCACGTATTGCACAAATCTGTATCGCAACGAGAAAAAAAGAAAAGTCCATAAAGGCGCTTTTAGGTGTCCGTCAGTTTGCGTAGAGCGAAGGACAATTTGAATATTTCCTATCGACCTAATGATCGGCACGTGTACGCGGAGCACGAGATGCAGAAAATAGATATTCGCAAGCACAACGCTATCATTATGGATAGCGTTGCCTGTCTAACTTTTTTTTTCTTTTGTCGCTGATTTTATTGCTGCGTTCGTCGTGAACTTTACTGCATCAAGTTCCCTTACAAACACTCCGATTCCAAAAATAATAATAATAAAAAAGGTGGAGTACAGCGAGAAATCTACTTCGTCCAGATATAGTGGACTCGCTTCCATGCACTTTGAAAAAGTACGAAATAAGGAGCGCTAAAAAGCCACCCGAAACACTCACGGTCGATCCGAAATGAGCGAAAAGGGAGGGCTGCCTAAGCCGGTTCTTAAGCACACTTAAAAATAGCGCTTGCCTAGTACTGGAGAGTCGTATACGACACGCCGGGTACATTAGTCATTTTTGTGTCAAGCGCCGAAAGATGGTGTCCAGACGCAACCCTGTATGCTTTATAGCTGAGCCGTGCGTTGAAAAAGAACGCCTATACATTAAATTGTGACGACCAGCGTTTTCAAAGTTCAAGCGTGCCGTCATATGGACAGCAGAAGTTAGGTAATTGATAGTAAAGCGTTTTTTTTTTTTTAAGAAAGGTTTTTTTATTATTATTTTTGTGAGTTGTTGGTCATAGATAATACGTTTAATTGATCAGGTTCTGTTATTACTGGGGCCACAAAAGGGTAAAAATTTCTTACATAAAAAATATTGTCGTTATTGCACGAAATAAAAGAAGAAGAGACAGCTTTTAAAGCCATTTGCCGACTAAATATTTTCCCGCGGGAATAAAAAAAAGTTTGACTTTTCAGCTGCCAATTTGTGTTTCTTGATTGTTGAGGTTTAATTCGGTAAAGAAATGGGGGCATACGCGTGCACGGATAACTTGTCACGGGTCTTCCAATGTTTTCTTGTCCACATAGTGACACAGGACCGGTGTACTAGCTTACGGAGCTAATTAACTCTATTCATACCAGCAGCTTCAGAAATGCAGGGCGTGGATATATAGTTCCGAGCATCTCATGAACGCTTCGTAGCCAATCTGATTTAGCTGTGTTCGCTGAAAAGAACCCCTAAGATCCGATCACGAAAAGAGCGGCGTGAACACATTAACGCGACAGCGTTTAGGAGCTCGTGTCGCAAAAATATCCGGCGTCGGCTTTAGGGGGGGGGGGGGGGGGGGGGGACCAAAAAATCCCATAATGCAACGCGCGCAGCCACGTGTGACGTCACAGGGGGATGTGACGTCATGACCCTATCGACCCGCAAAATTTGACTGGAGAATCTTTCGCTTAATTTAGCGGAAATTATTCCTGCGAAATATAGCGGCAAATTTTCCCGCCATATTTAGCGAAAAGTGTTTCCGCCAAGTGTGGCGGGAAAATTCAAATGAAGACACGTGACGCTACCGACTCGGCCAGGCAGACAGGCTTGCACGGCTGCCGACCGAGCGCGGATTTAATGAGAATCCTTCGCGAGCGGGGCCCGATGACGCTATCACGTTTTAAGGGCGAAGCTCAAGTGTCCTTCCAGTTTGCCAAGCCAGGTCCCGCATGTCTGAATCTGCCGATGACTCTGCGAAGCGCAAGGTCGTCTGCTTCTTGCGCGGGGGTTGCGGTGAAGTCGCAAAGCCGACTTCTGATTGGCTCTGATTGGAAGGATGGAGACCTCACTGCTGGCAGCTTTCAGGTCCTATCCCACTGTCCTTCCAATCGGAGCCGATCAGAGCGGGGCGTTCCGACGTTACCGCAACCCGTGTGCAAAAGGCGGGGAGGCGAGCTTTCGCTCCGAATAGCATAACTTATACGCGAGCTTCGAGGGTTCGAAAGTTGTTCGTGCTCCGTGACTTCGTGTTGCTCTAAACAAAACAAAACAAAATTTTAACGATTTTTTTATGGGACAATTGCCGTGTCTCTTAAGGGGATAACTCCTCGAAATTGTTAGGATGCCGTCCTTTTTGTTTGTGTTTATGCACAGTGCGCGGCACTGTTAGTACAAACGCAATATCGTCACTTTTTTTTATTTTGAAAGGGTATATCGCCATGCACCAGCGTTTACTTCTTGGGTCAACAAACGATGTGGACCTATCGTCGCATTAATAGTTTTGATGACAGTCCTTCCATTCTATACGAATAAAAAAAACTACGGGGAAAAGGCAATCGCTCGTTTGTTTTAACAGTATACGACACTACATTAGCGCAATCACGACATCGGCTATTCTTTTGTTGTACTCGAAAGGCTATGAGCAGGTACCAAAATTCAGCTCCTAGGATAGCGCCCTAAATGAGCACTTTCCAGCGGAATAGTAGCTTGCATGACGGCGTTTCGATTTAAAAAGAAAAATGCGCAGACAAAATATTGCGTGTTCGCGTTGAAAATGTCCCGCTATGCTTTTGTGCGTTTGTGTTGAACGTCAGGTAAGTTTGTGTCGATATATGTTGATTTCCGCCGCATCGACGGCTGCACCTTGAAAGACGACGAGGGATGCTGAACCAGATCCCGGACCCCAGGTTTGACAAGTGGTGGGTTATTCGCGACTTCAGCGAACTCGAGGGGGCGCGCTGGTCAGGCCAAATGGCGGACGAAAGGAGGTCGCCGTTCAGCACGCGGACCCCCGCGAATTTCTGTCATTGCAGCGTAAAAGCGGTGTTACATATGAAAGCAAAACGATTTTTCGATGGTAGAAACCTTCTTCTAGTCACTGCGTAGAAATGACACGGCGGAAGCATAAAAATAATTACTGGAAACGATGGTTGTTTCTATGCTACTTACGAGAACCAAGCAGCGATAGCAGACGACAAAGTCGAAATGACCTCTTCTCCCGAGCTTCTCGGCATTGCCGCTACGCGGCGTCGGTTTCGTTAGTTGGCTGTGGTCAGTTGTAGCAGGATCTGGGCGACCGACATCCGTAATCGGATAGTGTATGTTGCGTGACGAAAGCAACGCTGTGGGCATAAAGACCGGGGAGAAGAAGAAGGGAAGCCTTGAAACTTGCGGTTTCCAGGCTTGCGCCCAAATAAAGCGTTTTCCATTCACGGTGGCCAGACTAGCTCTCGAAGCGCGGCTGCTCAACGTTTCGCGGCAAGCGATCCACCAAACGGTCACCAACACATGTTTCCCTCACGACATCCGTTCCGGCCATCACGCTGAACCTGACAAGCAGGCGTGCGTCCGGTTCGTGTTTTGTCCCAAAGACCACTCCACCGGAGCTCGCGTCCGTCTCTCTTACGCGTACCCGTCGCTGGCCAGTTGCTGGGCCTCAAAGGACACACGCTCCTCCCCGTTGGTGTCACCGCCGCGAGTTTTAGCGCGCTCTGAATAGCATTTTTTTTTATGCCGGGTTACATATTTGTGTACCCAAAACCTTGGTAAAGGAAGCGTGCATTTCGGGTCTTGGGAAGCAGCAGGCGTTTCCTGCCTCGGTACAACCGTTTGGGCTGTACATGGCTGAACGGACGCGTGGAACTACGGCCACGACGTTCGAGCGATGAATGGTCCGAGGCTTCGCTGCTTGTTGGAAATATCCGTGCCCCACCGAATATCGGAATGGATCTCTGCCGCAGAGTGCGTATCGTATCCCTTTTTTTTTATTTTTTTTTCTAATATGCTTTGCATCTTTATAATGCATTTTTGAAAACCAAAAAGTGGGCTATACAAACACGTGGTGTTCCTGTTATAGGTCTATTCGTCTGACGATCCATTGTGGGTTTTACATTAAGAATAAAGGAAGAGCAACAGAACGACATTGACGGAGCAAATTATCTTCCATGATCTGTCTTGTCATGCCCGTTTTGTTGCTTTCCTCGTATTTTTAGAACATACCGGCAGGCTCTGATTTGTCGAATATGAATTTTATTTCGAGGTACATGGCACTATCGGATGTCCTGCGAAGTATGTAGGGGGTATTCGCTGGAATGCCATATTTGAAGGCGTTGTTTAGAGCGCATGCTCAGAAAGATCTCAGGCTAATAGGGAGTATTCACTGGCGGCCATAGCTGTGTGCGCAACTGCTGAGCGCGTGCTGATGGCGAGCTTCCACAGTTCTTTTGCAACGTGCATTGCGCACCATCGAGAGCGCCGGTCTTATCAGGCTATTAATGTGAGCTCGTTCCGAGCATGCGCTCTGAACATCGCCCTCAAATGTGGCGGCCAGTGAATACTCTCTATAGGCTGCTAAGACTTGTAATCTTGGTGGTGCGCAATGCACGTGGCCATAAAACTGCGGAAGCTCGCCATCAGCATGCGCTCAGCAGTTGCTCACATAGCTATGGCCGCTAGTGAAGATATATACTCCCTATAGGGAGTATTCACTGGCGGCCATAGCTGTGTGTGCGACTTCTGAGCGCGTGCTGATGGCGAGTTTCCGCAGTTCTTTTGCAACGTGCATTCCGCACCATCGAGAGCGCCGGTCTTATCAGGCTATTAATGTGAGCTCGTTCCGAGCATGCGCTCTGAACATCGCCCTCAAATGTGGCGGCCAGTGAATACTCTCTATAGGCTGCTAAGACTTGTAATCTTGGTGGTGCGCAATGCACGTGGCCATAAAACTGCGGAAGCTCGCCATCAGCATGCGCTCAGCAGTTGCTCACATAGCTATGGCCGCTAGTGAAGATATATACTCCCTATAGGGAGTATTCACTGGCGGCCATAGCTGTGTGTGCGACTTCTGAGCGCGTGCTGATGGCGAGTTTCCGCAGTTCTTTTGCAACGTGCATTCCGCACCATCGAGAGCGCCGGT